ATTATTGTTGCTTTTCCACAATAAAATTTTCATTTAAAACGGCCTCGAGCTCAATATAAATTGTTGAATATGATTTTAAGTAAAAATAAATAAAGGACATAAAAGGAACATTTTTGAAGTTTTCTAACATAACAAAAATATTTTCAAATTTTCAATCTCACAAATACATTCTCATTTTCAGGGCGTGTGTGAATCGGTAACAAAGTTCTATGGGGAAAGCTGTTTAATAAAATTTTTACTATGGTGAGACAGTTTTGCCAATCTGCTGTGTGAAATGAGATCTTTTTTGACAGCAGTAAATTTTTGATAACCGCAGATTTATTCGGAATAAACTATTACAAATGGAAGTGAAATTAATATTTTAAGAAAACATCTACCATCGCTGATTGCATTTCATCAATTTAAGCTTTTGTTTTACGAAAAATTACACACAGCAACAATCTTTGCGATTGTCAAAATTTTCTATGCATTTGTCAAACATTTCATTAGCCTCATGAGCTACTGAAATTTTATTCACCTCATAGTTGTCAAAAATTTACTTGCCGCAAACTTTGTTACCGATTCACACACGCCCTCAGTCTAAAATAAAAGAAAATTGTAATATTTTCATCTATTTGTTTTTGTTTTACCTTTATTTGGCATTTGAGTTGCTCTCAAATTTTCAATTTTATAAGGTGATTGACAATTCAGTGCGGCTCTCTTTTAAGGTACTATTATGTCAAAATGTATTAACAAACGAATTAACCCTTAGTGATGCATGTATCTTGTCAGCACTGATACCCAAGGCTTTTATTTTGATTATAGTTTTGTTATACTTACATTACCTGGAATATATATGTTTTGTCAATAAAATAAAACAAATTGTTTATAAAATAGTTTTAGCAATTTTCTTGTTTTTAATTGCCCAAGTTTTATGCTTTTGTGCGTTTATTTTTATATTTAAATTTTTTATCCTAAACATTATTCGACACTTATAAAAGTAGGATTTTACATTTGTTTCCAATTTTATATGTGAGCTTAACTCTAACAATTTCGAAATTAATTTTTTTTCATGCGAAATAGTTTTCCATTAAAGACTTTGCTTCGAGCAGTTTTAAACTAAGCTCTTCCATACTTGCTTGCATGGTTTTAATTATGTCGGTAAGAAGAAATATTTCTGTTCTCAACGTGCATTCTAAAGAGTCGCCTGTTTGAGTTTGGACATCAACAAATAATGTATTCTGATCGCGTTCTAAATCCTCACTTGTTTCAGTTATTTTGTATGGCATTGGGACTGCGCCTGGGTATAAACGAGCTCGTTTGAAAGTGCCTGATTCGGACGGACAACTAATGAAATCACTTTCCTTGAAGTGGTTTTCACAAACGCGAGATGAATCACGTAGTACAACACCACAGCATTCTTCCCATCGCTGCCGTCTTAATTCGCAACTAGGTGGTTTAAAACATCGCACTATTTTCGTGTCCTGACTTTTATTGCATACAGCGCACCGTTCAAACGGTTTGCTCCGTTTCATCTTGGTTTCCTTACATTAAATATTTAAGAGAAGTCGAACGTATTTACTTATTACCCAATTTTAAATGTACTTACTTGCTCTCCTCGGCGGTTTATCTCTTAACAATTTCACGTTTATTAAGAAAATTTGTTGCTCGAAAAATTTGTGTGTAACTTTTTTTTAAACAAATTCAAATTTGAAAAAAAAAATTTCAAATGGGTTAAGAATTCATTTCAGTTTGACATTATAGTCTATTTCTTATGAGAGCAATGTCAAAATCAATCACACTTTGTTGAATACATTTTGTGGCCGACGAATTGAGAGAGCGGTTTTACTTTTAAATATATGAGTAGTTCACTTGCTAAGTGCGCTATGTAAAATTTTTTCGATTTTTAGTTTTTGGTGGATAACGTCCTAGTGTTTAAAGTAATTTCATGTCCACTAACAACACAGTGCAAAATCTTTTTATATTCTGAAAAAATAGCATCAAATATTAACTCTTCTTCCAAAAGTGGCTATCATACTTATTTGTAAACTTTCAAAAGTATTCATCTTCTGATGAACATAGAAAACTGCTTTAGGTCGTATAGACTGTTAATGTTATCTTATGTCATGTTATGTTATGTTATAATTTTATCCTTCTTTTTTTTTTTTGGCGCTGTAACCGCCTAAGCGATTTTGGCCGAGTTCAGCAAAGCACGCCAGTCGTTTCTCCTCTGTGCCAACTAACGCCAATTGGAAACGCCAAGTGAAGCCAAGTCCTTCTCCACCTGATCTTTCCATCGCAGTGGGGGCCTCCCTCTTCCTCTGCTACCACCAGCGGGTTCCGAGTTGAATACTTTCAGAGCTGGAGCGTCGGTGTCCATTCGAACGACATGACCAAGCAAGCGGAGCCACTGTATTTTAATTCGCTGCACTATGTCCATATCGTTGTAAAGCTCATACAGCTCATCGTTCCATCGTCTGCGGTACTCGCCGTCGCCAACGCGTAAAGGCCCGTAAATCTTCCGCAAAATCTTTCTCTCAAACACTCCAACCCGCCTCATCGGATGTTGTCATTGTCCATGCTTCTGCGCCATATACCAGCACAGGCATGATTAGTGACTTATAGAGCATGGTTTTCGTACGTCGAGAGAGGACTTTACTCCTGAATTGCCTGCTCAGTCCAAAGTAGCACTTGGTGGCAAGAGTGATTCTGCGTTGGATTTCAATGCTGACATTATTATCGGTGTTAATGCAGGTTCCCAAGTAAACGAAATTCTCTACTTTCTCGAAATTGTAACTGTCAACAGTGATGTGGGTGCCAAGGCGCGAATGTGCAGACTGTTTGTTTGATGACAGGAGATACTTCGTCTTGTCCTCGTTT